CGTTTATTCGGCTATCTTTAAAAATTAATATCTCATTAACTATTAGTGCAACTGAAAAATGGTAGAAGACTTTTCGACTTGTCAGTTTAGTCCGCTCTGCCTGTTTATGATGGATGATGTTATAGCATCCAGACATCCTGTATTATTTGAACTTTATAATAACTTATTGAAATAGTTGTTTAATAATTTTTACATTATGTTTATTTTACAAAAATATGATAGCATTTAATTGGCGTGTGATTAATTATTCATTAATATTAAAATGCTGTTCTACTCATTTTAATACTCAAATTAAATGATTAATGATTGGGGGAAATTTAATACCACAAGTATTAAATTTCTCTAAATGACAGCAATATTTCCTTTAGTTATTTCATATATATTTATAAATACTATTCTTATAGATAATCTCTCGAATTGCGTAATAAAAATGGACATGATGAATAACAATACGACATTATACACTGATTTATGTTTAAAAAACATTGAAAACACAGTACTCGAAAAATGTGATACTCCAAAAAAATTAGACACATCAGTTGAGAAATTAAGAGGCGATACTGTTGAAGATGACTGTAAGTATATTTAATGCGTGGATTGTTCTTGTAGATGTTAAATTTAATTTTCTTTCTTATGACACTGTCATTTTAGTTAAGTTTATTTAGTTTAGATTATTTTATACATATCAAATCTAATATTTTCCGTTTCAACATATATTTTTATGTTTTTATTATTTTGTCAATACTGTTAATACATCCTCTGAACTTTATGATTATTTCATTAAATTATTACTTAATGGTGAAATTATTATTTAATTTTAATGACATTGATTGATTGTTTATAATACAGAATATAATAATACAGAAATTTGGCAGTATGTAATAGGCATGTGATTAATTATTTATTTTGAATATTAAAAATACTATTGCTACTCATTTTAATAATCAAACTAAATAATTAATTATAAACTAAGTTTCCATCGAGAATTAGAATTGGGTCAGAGTCGAGTCAGAGTATGGGAATTACTAGTCATAGTTGAGTATTTCCCTCTTACAGTCAAATGAGAGAAATGCTCGATTGTGATTGGTCGGTTCTTGGACTCTAACCCGACTCTGACCAAATTCAAACTCTCGGTAGAAACTTAGTCATATACTACGTTTACCCAGCCCGATTTACGGCGAAGTTATAACATCGTAGTTATGAAACTGGCCAATCATAATAATTCCTCTGAAGAATGAAATGACTATGATTGGCTAGTTTCCTAATTACGATGTTATAACTTCGGCGTAAATCGGGCCGTGTAAACGTAGTAATAGACCAATTTAAGGGTCCTGAGTAGTCACATATTAAATTGTGACGTCAGAAACGAGATATGGCACGTTAATTTTTGTTACGTGCCATTTGTAAATAAAGACAATTTGGATAAAACAAAATGACGCTTTAAAACAATTGTAAAGTAACAATTATAAAATAAAAATAGACAAAACCTAGTCTTATCTCCCTTGATTGTCAGCAAATAATCGTAAAAAATAATAAAAGGCATTGTCTTTATTTACAAATGATACATAACGAATCAATATGTCATTTCTCGCTTCTGATGTCACGATCAATTTGGCTGTGGTAATTACATACTTTGGAGTCTTTAATACCACAAAAATTAAATTTTTCTAATCCACATCAATTGCAATGTTTGAATTGACTATTTCTTGTACATTTATAGATACAGTTCTCAAAACTATTGACTTATTAGATTGTCCTGTACAAATCGATACGATGAATGACAATAAATCGTCCACTGGTTTATGTTTCGAAAACTTTATTGAAATGGGAGCAATAAAAATATCTGATATTCCAGGAAAATTAGACATTTCAGTTGAGGAATCAAGAGGTTATACTGTTGGAGATGATTGTGAGTATGTTTGAAATGTGGATTCTTTTGGATGTTAAACACTATTCAATTTTATTTCTCCTTGCATTCTTTCATATTAATTGAATTTACTTAGCTTAAACTACTTTATACATTTTTAGTTTAATACTTTTCAACTGTTTCGACAGTATTCTATGTTTTTATTACTTTTATCAATATTGTTAATGCATTCTCGGAACTTTATAATAACTTCATTAAATTATTATTTAACAGCCACATTTTTACATCATTTATCCTTACAAAAATCTGTAATGTTTAATTGGCATGTAATTAATGTCTTACTTTAAATATTAAAAATATTATTGCTGTCTTTTTTAATACTTTATCTAAATAAATATCGTTGGCTAATTTAATACTGTGAGTACATTTCTCTAATTGACGTGTTTCTTTAACTTCATTTTATATATGTTTATAAATACGATTTTCATACAGTTCCAACAGATTGAATAGACAGAATATGATTTTTGAAAGAGTAACATGTATGGACAATATAATTTGAAACTAATTTATAATAAAATTAGTATGTTAATTTATCTAAAGTTTGTGATAGATTCTTTGATCTGTTGAGACAATACTTCAATTTTGAAAATATGTGATTCCATTTTGATTGACTGACAAATCAATTAGCTGTATTTATAATTTTATTGCTGAAGAGGATTCTAAAGTTAGTCGAAACATCCAATTCGAAGAACTTCGAGATGTCATCTTGGCATTAATACAATAAAAATTTTTACACGATTCTACACATTGTAATCTATGCTGCACTTTCATTAGCCTTTCAATGGTTGTTTTTAATTTGTTTTAAATTATTTTATACATTTTAAATTTAACATTCACTTTCCAGCTGTTTTGATAACATTGTTTATGTTTTTATTTCTGTTGTCAATATAGTTAATATTTTTTTAACTTTAATAAGTTTATCAATTTGTTAATAGTGAAGCTATTACATCATATATTTTTTATGAAAAATTTAACAGTATTTAATTGGCGTGTGATTAATTACTTATTTTGAGTATTATATAATAAGGTACTGTTGCTTGTTAATGATTTTAATACAAAAAATAATTAATTACTGATCACTTTAGTGCTAGTCTTAATTTCTGCAAGAGATATATTTTTTACTTATTTGGTGTATATTTATAGATATGAATCCCATAAATGACGATTTTTCAAAGTGTACATTACAAATGGACACGATAAACGACAATGGATTGTTTGCTGATTTAACTTTTGAAAGAACAATGTTTGAAACTCATGAAATGATTAAAAGAATAGAGTTAGAAAAATCTGATGCTACAGAAAAATTAAATATATCAGTTGAGGAATCAAAAGGCGATACTGATGAAGATGATTATGAGTTTGTTTAATTTGCTGGCATTCAGATCGATATTAAACCATTCAATAAATATCTTTCTTATCCTCTTGATTTAATTTAATTTATTTTTTATTGTTCAGATTTTATACCTTCAATTTGATATCAATTTACAAATTACACGCAAAAAATTTTAATTGTCATTTTTTGCTTATGATATAACGATTCAATATGATTGCAACGATTACACAGGAACTTTGATAAAACCTAATACTTTTGGCTAAAGCTGCATGTTTATTTAAAAAAAAGATCTTTCAAAAATAAGATAAACACAAAAAGTTCAACTTAATATCTTCAGAATATTTTTATCTTTTTAAGCTTTAGATTTTCTTTTTATTTTTTTAGCTTCCGAATATATTCCTTCAAATACAAGTGATGTTTCATCTGTTTACTCGGATGTTGATGATAATAACACAAAGAATAAAAACAAGAAAAATGTCTCTGTTAATAAATCTAATACATCTAGTGGTCTAGATGTATCTATAATACATTCGCCAGAAACGAAAACGTGTAACGATACTGAAATGTATGTCACAGAATCATCAGGGAAACAAACACATTCAAAAAGAAATTGTTGTTATTACTGTAAAAAGTTACAGAGCAAGATAGCACGTCACTTAGAAACTGTACATTCTAATGAAGAGGAAGTTAAAAAGTTCACGGTATTACCAAAGGGAAACTATGAAAGAAAGAAAATAATAGAAACTCTTCGACGATATGGTAATTTTCAGTTTAACACTAAGAAAGAGATCAATAATGGAGAACTTATTACATGTAGGCGACCAAACAAAAAATGGCAGAAAAATGCAAGTGATTTCTTACCTTGTGGTAAATGCAAAGGATATTTTTCAAAATTATCTCTTCGACATCATTTTCGTCGTTGCACTGGACGTAATAGCAAACATAATAAATCAATAATGGTATTGGGTCGTACTAATGTTGCAAGAACTCATGAAGCAGCTAATAAGATTCTTAGAACAATTGTCTTCCCCGTATTACGAGACGATGAAGTCACTCGTGCAATTAGATACGATCAATTAATAATTCTATATGGGAATAAACTTTGCTTGAAATATAGACTACAACATCAGCACGATATGATTCGATCCCGATTACGATTGATAGGACGTTATCTGTTAGCTCTCAGAACAAAAGATGAAAATATTACTGATTTTGCTTCGTTATATGATCCGAAATTTTATGATGTCGCAATTGCTGCTGTTAATTCTGTGGCAGGTTTTGATGAAGATAAAAACATATATAAAGTACCATCTGTAGCATTTAACCTTGGGACGTATATAAAACATATTGGAGAGATTTTAATTAATGAGTGTATAAAAAGTCACGGTCCTATGAAAATGAAACAGGTTGAAAATTTCTTAAAACTACTAAGACAAGACTATGGAATAAGCGTCAATAGAACAGTGTTGGAAACACAAATGCAACGAAAACGACAAAAGAAGATTATACTTCCATCAACAGATGATATTAAGAAATTGAATAGTTATTTAACCGAAAGACGAGAGGAAGCTTATAACAATTTGTTGAAAGAATATTCATATAAACCTTGGCTAACTCTGCTGGAAACAACTCTCATATCTGTGCAATTGTTTAATCGTCGACGAGCTGGAGAAACTGAAAGAATGCTAATACCGGAATTTCAAAGTCATCACAGTGTTAATGAAAAGACGAATAAGGATATTTACAAATCATTATCAGCAGAAGCACAAAAATTAGCAAACAAATATGTCCGTTTTGAGATACGTGGTAAACTTGGTCGTACTGTTCCAGTCTTACTTCATTCCGATTTACTGAAATGCATTAACCTTATATTGGATTACCGTTCACAAGCCAAAGTGTCTCACGATAATCCCTACCTTTTTGGAATACCGGGTTATGATAAAAAGAGATACAAATATTTAAGGGCTTGCGATTTAATGCGAACATTTTCAGTAGCATGTGGAGCAAGCATGCCACATACATTACGTGGAACACAATTAAGAAAGCATATAGCTACTAAATGTATTTCTTTAAATTTATTAGATCATCAAGTGAGTGATTTAGCTAATCATTTAGGACACAAAGATAAAATACACAAAGAATATTACAGGCAACCTATTGCTAGTCGAGAAATACTACAGGTATCAAAACTTTTAGAATATGCGCAAGGTCAAGAAGAAAATGAAGACGAAAGTACTGATAACGATGGTATGCATATATAAATAATTAAAATAAAATTAATATTAGGTTATAAACAAATTATTATATTCGATTGTATTGTTATATACATATATAAATAGGTATTATTTATGTGAATTTTCATATATTGTATGTATTGACTGCGTTCAGCAGAGTAAGCGCTCGCTGTTATTGGTATATTCTTTTAAATGATCCAATTAGAATTTTAGATCTAAAAGAATACATCAATAATAGTAATCGCTCACTCAATTGTTGAACTGAATTGTCTACTGAACGCAGCCAATAATACAATTAATAACAACAATTTGTTAATAATTTTTACAAATTAGATTACTAATATTAAATTTATCAAAAATTACATTCATATAACTTCTTTAATATTGAAATATGTTATAACAAATTTATTTCTTTTTCTAACTTTAATTTATCTTAAAATGTAGGTATTAAAATGAATCAGAATTTAGTTATAATTTTTATAAATTCTAGCTCTTATTTATTACTTTTTTCTATCAATAATCTTTCAAGAATGTTAATAAATATTACATTTTTGTACAATTGGAAATATTACTAAATATTTAGAAATTTACATCATTGAAATTTAATATACATATAAGATGTTTCATAATTAACGTATAAAAACATGAAATTAAGAATAAATTTATTCAAGCCTGAGAGAACCTATTCTATGGGAAAATTGTGGAAAGTATCAATCATCATTTATTGTAACTTTTTAGTTTTTAACGTTAAATACTCGATAATTATATATTATGTCAAAGTGTTGACTCAGTAAATGTATACACCCATACAGAACAAAATATATAATAGATATCTACTGCTGTCTCTTATACACATCT